AACTCTCAAAGATCTATGGGAAACTCTCAAAGATCTATGGGAAACTCGCAAAGATCTATGGGAAACTCTCAAAGATCTATGGGAAACTCTCAAAGATCTATGGGAAACTCACAAAGATCTGTGGGAAACTCTCAAAGATCTATGGGAAACTCGCAAAGATCTATGGGAAACTCTCAAAGATCTATGGGAAACTCTCAAAGATCTATGGGAAACTCTCAAAGATCTATGGGAAACTCTCAAAGATCTATGGGAAACTCTCAAAGATCTATGGGAAACTCTCAAAGAACTTTGGGAAACTCTCAAAGATCTATGGGAAACTCTCAAAGATCTATGGGAAACTCTCAAAGATCTATGGGAAACTCTCAAAGATCTCTGGGAAACTCTCAAAGATCTATGGGAAACTCTCAAAGATCTATGGGAAACTCTCAAAGATCTATGGGAAACTCTCAAAGATCTATGGGAAACTCTCAAAGATCTATGGGAAACTTGCATAGATCTATGGGAAACTCTCAAAGATCTATGAGAAACTTGCATAGATCTATGGGAAACTGTCAAAGATCTATGGGAAACTCTCAAAGATCTATGGGAAACTCTCAAAGATCTATGGGAAACTGTCAAAGATCTATGGGAAACTCTCAAAGATCTATGGGAAACTGTCAAAGATCTTTGGGAAACTCTCAAAGATCTATGGGAAACTCTCAAAGATCTATGGGAAACTCTCAAAGATCTATGGGAAACTCGCAAAGATCTATGGGAAACTCTCAAAGATCTATGGGAAACTCGCAAAGAACTTTGGGAAACTCTCAAAGGTCTATGGGAAACTCTCAAAGATCTATGGGAAACTCTCAAAGATCTATGGGAAACTCTCAAAGATCTATGGGAAACTCTCAAAGATCTATGGGAAACTGTCAAAGATCTTTGGGAAACTCTCAAAGAACTTTGGGAAACCCTCAAAGAACTTTGGGAAACTCTCAAAGATCTATGGGAAACTGTCAAAGATCTATGGGAAACTCGCCTGTATTTGGGCATCGTCTGGTCCTGTGCAGTGGATGGTCTCCCATGATGCTTTGCGTCAAACACGTGTGTGTGGGTCTCACACCAGGTCTCACGCACGTGCACAGAGGGGCTCAGCTGCGCTCTGACCAATCAGAGCAGTTCATCAAAGCGGGAGTTAAAGCGAGAGCCAGACGAGCAGAGTTTGTGGCACTAAAGTGTGGATTTAAACAAAACCGAAGGATTTAAGAAGAAAAAAAGTTCAGGACCACAAGGGACACTAAAATCCCCACAAAATCCAATCTTTATGAAAGCTGTAGGTTCTCTGTCAGGTTCTCTGTCAGGTTCTCTGTCAGGTTCTCTGTCAGCTGAGGTCGAGCTGTTTTAATATGCATTGAGTTCTATGGGGAAAATTTCTGGGTAGCCCAGGTGAATTTAGTCTGGTTCAGTCTGGTTCAGTCTGGTTCAGTCTGGTTCAGTCTGCAGTACCGCGAGAATCCCCTGAACACATGAGTTATTCAGCTACAAGCTAGTAATACCCTATCCAGTTATTATAATAGATCCATGGATTGGATGCATTTTGTTGAGGGACAAAAGTGCTAACATCCTAACAACGTGCTAACATGCTAACACCGGCTCTGTCCATGTCACCAATGTTTTCAGGACCAGAGGAATGCTTGCAAGTTTAAGGCAGGGTAAGGAAAATTAATTATATAACTCAAACGGCCAAACATGAAGATAGCATGTCTCACATTTTCAGGAAGACTGTTTTAAGATTTTAGCTGCATGAATCTGAAAGGCTGCTTCCCTGTGTTAAGTTCTGACTCTGGGACCAGCAGGAGGCCGGTCCCTGTGCTCCTCAGAGTCCCAGCAGGAGGCCGGTCCCTGTGCTCCTCAGAGTCCCAGCAGGAGGCCGGTGCCTGTGCTCCTCAGAGTCCCAGCAGGAGGCCGGTCCCTGTGCTCCTCAGAGTCCCAGCAGGAGGCCGGTCCCTGTGCTCCTCAGAGTCCCAGCAGGAGGCCGGTCCCTGTGCTCCTCAGAGTCCCAGCAGGAGGCCGGTCCCTGTGCTCCTCAGAGTCCCAGCAGGAGGCCAGTCCCTGTGCTCCTCAGAGTCCCAGCAAGAGGCCAGTCCCTGTGCTCCTCAGAGTCCCACCAGGAGACCAGTCCCTGTGCTCCTCAGAGTCCCACCAGGAGACCAGTCCCTGTGCTCCTCAGAGTCCCAGCAGGAGTCCAGTCCCTGTGCTCCTCAGAGTCCCACCAGGAGACCAGTCCCTGTGCTCCTCAGAGTCCCACCAGGAGACCGGTCCCTGTGCTCCTCAGAGTCCCACCAGGAGACCAGTCCCTGTGCTCCTCAGAGTCCCAGCAGGAGACCGGTCCCTGTGCTCCTCAGAGTCCCACCAGGAGACCAGTCCCTGTGCTCCTCAGAGTCCCAGCAGGAGGCCAGTCCCTGTGTTGTTTCTTCACATATTTATTATTAGCAAATGCTTCACTTCCTCAGACTCTCCGGAACATTCCAGAACCTTTCCCCCCAAACCGCCGTCTGCCGCGTCCCGCCGCCGTGACCTGCGCCTCAGATTACAGCCCATAATCTCACACCCTCAGACGGTCAAGTGTAGCAGCGGAGAGGAGCCAGGTCTGGTTCCAATCACAGACCAGGACCTGCTGAAACCGTATCAAAGGGCCTCGCATGGATCCAACTCGGCGTGGGCCAAGACACAGTCGGCACGGCAACGGAATGTGGGAGCATAGTATAGTATAGTACAGTATGATATAGTAGAGTAGAGTAGAGTAGAGTACAGTATGGTAAGACACGACTGCAAGATTGGACAAGATTGAACGGTCTGAGTTCAAATCCCGGTTGGAACTGGGCCTTTCTGAGTGGAGTTTGCATGTTCTCCCTGTGTCTGCGTAGGTTTCCTCCGGGTGCTCCAGTTTTTGCGAGTTGTTGGTCTGATGCAGGAGGATCTAAGGACACTCCACATTCAGCCACATTTACAGACTTTGGTCTCTGCTCTTTATGGACCAATGGCTCAGTGTGTTTTTATTGTTTGAACTGTTTGATTTTCTGATCTGTGTTGGAGAATCGACAGGTTTGTAAAGTCTTCCGAGATAAACTACTGTTGTTGTTTAGGTCTATACACAAATGTTGAATTTAATTATTTTCCTTTTTTGCGAATGCAAGTGGATTTGATACCACAAAGACCTGTACAAGGAAACTAATGCTAACGCTAATGCTAACGCTAAAGTAATAATTAGTGATCAGGAAACTGGTCGAGGCTCATTGCACAGAACAGAGGAAACTGAGAATGTCCAGAGATAGTCTTGAAGAATTATGAAAAAGTTGGTTTTGGTTCAATGTTTAAAGTAAAACACATGTTGCTTTTAGCTTTTAAATGAACTATAACTGGCCATTTACGGAGGAGCTACAGGAGGAGAAAGGGGAGGGGCCTGGGGAGGAGAAAGGGGAGGAGCAGAGGGAGGAGCCAGTTAAGAGTCAAAAGCTGAAGGCTGTGTTATGGTTATGTTACACTATGTTGCTATGGTTACTAATGCTCGTTCTTCTCCACTCCATTTTAAAATGAAAAGATGATTTGATAAACTAATGACATTAAGAAACAGGAAAAGTCATTATGTCCAATATCATTATTATTTTATTTATTGACAATAACAATCAGAAACAAAAGGCACAGACTGGTTGCCTCGCTTCTGTCAGTGTGCCCCAGGGCAGCTGTGGCTACAGTAGTAGTTTATCACCACCGTGTAACTGTATAAAACTGATGCATCATTTTTATTATTATTATTATGTTTCATTCAGAGTCTGAAAATGTAGAACACATGAACACAACAGTGATCTGTCAGAGTGAGGAAGAGGAGGAGGAGGAGGAGGAGGAGGAGGACCGCAGGAGCTGCTCCGCTGGAAACACGAGGAGGAAGAGGAGCAGGTCAGAGGGAGGAGGAAGGGGGGAGAGGGGGAGAGGGGGGAGGAGGCCGCTCTATTTCAGAGGAAAAGGTCGAAGGCTGAGTTTGTTAAAACACAACTCAAAAACTTTATTGTCCCCAAAGGAAAAAAACCTGAAAATAAACAGAAACTTTGTTCGTTAAGAAGAGAAAAAAAGAAAAAATATATCATGTTTCATAAATTATAATCATTTATAATTATAGATTAAAATAATGATATATAATATCATTATTATAATCTATAATTATAAATGATTTACACATTACTCAGAAACTATTTCATGCGTAAAGACGCTGCTCCGCTTTCACGAAGACAACAATAATTTGAGTCTAAATTAAATATGTCTGTTTTATTTTCTGCACAAAAACAGAACATAAATCTGTGCCATAAACAGATACAGATATTCACACAAAAATAGATATTTATGATAAATATTAATATTTAATAAAATTAGACAAGGCTGTTTTGGACAAATATATGTTCTGTGCGTAAATACGTGCTGTGGACAAACAGAGAGAGAGAGAGAGAGAGAGAGAGAGAGAGAGAGAGAGAGAGAGAGAGAGAGAGAGAGAGAGAGAGAGAGAGAGAGAGAGAGAGAGAGAGAGAGAGAGAGAGAGAGCGAGAGAGAGAGAGAGATAGATAGGGAGAGTCCACCGCGCCTCAGGTCCTGTCCCTGCGCGTCCTTCTTACGGTCTGGATTTGTTCCTGGATTTGTTCAGGACAGGACCGAGCGGAGCGGAGTGCGCTGACGCCATTGGCTGCAGCTCCTCCTACATAAAGCTGAGAGTGTGTGTGTGAGCCTCTGTCAGAGCCACGCTGCCCGTGCGCCTTTACGAGGCACAGCACGGTCCGGGATGAGACGCAGATGATCCGCTGAGACTGAGGCGTGTGAGGAGAGAGGCTCACACTGAAGCAGCCCGTTAGGAGCGGACCCTTTTCTGTCTAAACGGTTCCCTTTCTTCCCTAAAATTGGCTCCCGTACAAACCGCCGCGTTGGATCCCACGGCGTACTGCGAGACTCCGGTCTACAACCCGGATCTCTGCCCCAACATGATCGCAGCGCAGGCCAAGCTGGTGTACCACCTGAACAAGTACTACAACGAGAAGTGCCAGTCCCGCAAGGCCGCGGTCTCCAAGAGCATCCGGGAGGTGTGTAAGGTGGTGTCAGACGTCCTGAAGGAGGTGGAGGTGCAGGAGCCGCGCTTCATCAGCTCCCTCAGTGAGATGGACAACCGCTTCGAGGGGCTGGAGGTCATCTCCCCCACGGAGTTCGAGGTGGTGCTGTACCTCAACCAGATGGGTGTCTTTAACTTCGTGGATGACGGCTCTCTACCGGGCTGCGCGGTGCTCAAGCTCAGCGACGGCCGCAAGAGGAGCATGTCTCTGTGGGTAGAGTTCATCACCGCCTCCGGGTACCTCTCCGCGCGGAAGATCCGCTCCCGCTTCCAGACGCTGGTGGCTCAGGCCGTGGACAAGTGCAGCTACAGGGACGTGGTGAAGATGGTGGCGGACACCAGTGAGGTGCGGCTGCGCATCAGGGACCGGTACGTGGTGCAGATCACTCCCGCCTTCAAGTGCACCGGCATCTGGCCCCGCAGCGCGGCGCACTGGCCCCTGCCGCACATCCCGTGGCCCGGGCCCAACCGAGTGGCTGAGGTGAAGGCGGAGGGCTTCAACCTGCTGTCCAAGGAGTGCTACTCTCTGAACGGGAAGCAGAGCTCCGCGGAGAGCGACGCCTGGGTGCTGCAGTTCGCGGAGGCCGAGAACAGGCTGCTGCTCGGCGGCTGCAGGAAGAAGTGTCTGTCGGTGCTGAAGGCGCTGAGAGACCGACACCTGGAGCTGCCGGGGCAGCCGCTCAACAACTACCACATGAAGACTCTGGTTTCCTACGAGTGCGAGAAGCACCCGCGGGAGTCGGACTGGGACGAGAACTGTCTGGGGGACCGCCTCAACGGGATTCTATTACAGCTTATTTCATGTTTGCAGTGCAGGCGCTGCCCGCACTACTTCCTGCCGAACTTAGACCTTTTCCAGGGAAAGCCGCACTCTTCTCTGGAGAACGCGGCCAAACAGACGTGGCGTCTGGCCAGAGAGATTCTGACCAACCCCAAGAGCCTGGAGAAACTCTGAGCTCACTGTATCACTCTGAGTGCATGGCCCCAGCCCGGAGAAAGTCTGAGGTAACGTGCACACGGGCAGCACCACTGCCCACGTCTGTACCGGAGGCTGTAGCCTTTGACAGAGCACCTTTGACCGTGAGCCGCAGACGTGAGGCCTCAGTCTCGGTTCTGCTGTAAATACCCGTGATCCTCTCTGTTCTGTTGGACCGTGTCGTGACGCACCTGTTCTGTTCGTGTGAATACAACGTGAGACATTCCTTTGGTTTTTACTTGAATCATTCTTATTTAAGTCTTGGCATTGGTCGCCTCTTTCCTCCACAAAGGCCTAAATTTAAGATGAGACTTATAAATATAGTATATATCTATGACATTCTAATTGAGACAAATGCACTTGAAATACACTGGATTTAACGTCATGTGATCTTTTTATGACATGTCTTCATCTAATTTAAAGAGCTAATAAAGCAGCTGTTTTATAATTGTGTCCCAAACTGGAGTTATTCATGTTTCAGTCTGTCTCAGACGCTTTCTAAATTTAAATCTATCTATAGTATTTTTTTTCTTTTTTTTTTAACCCTGGAAACACACTTCACGCGTCGCTCTGAGTTTGTACAAAGAGGAATTAAACCGCTCGAGCTGATGGAGATATTTCATTAGTATTTACCTTCATTATTGGTGGAAATGATTAGATTTTTGACAAAGTGTGTCTGAAAGAACAAATGCAAAAGCTGATGGAAAACAAGTGAAAAAAGCTCAGATTTGATCAGATTCTGACTGAAGACTTCCCACTGGGACACGGCAAAACTGATCTGCCTTATTTAAAAAAAGAAATGTCTCCCTTGGAATGAGAAAATACAGCAACCGTTTTTTAAATAAGACTAAATGGCTTTGTCCCTTTTTGGAGAATCTTCTCGCGTCAGATTAAGATTAAAAACACTCGATTAAAGCATTTATTACCTCATAATTCATCATTTTTTACAGTGTATGCTTGGATAAAAATAGTAAATTCCCAAAATGCGCAAGACTGACAAAAAGGCCTCTGCTGTGGTTCTATTGTGATCCGCGCTAATCACGTGTCACACCATGGCTGTCTCTCTTCTTCTTCTTCTTCTTCTTCTTCTTCTTCTTCTTCTTCTTCTTTTTGTCTGTGACGCGCCGCGGCTATATCTCGCTTCATTTGACCCTGAATGTGATCTCGGTTCTTTCTCTTCTCGTCTTCATCCACCGTGAAGCAGCTCAGGAGCCGTAACACACAAGCACACACACCCGGGGCCTGCATGGGGCCAGGGGGGCATGGGCAGCTACCCGGAGACCCCTCACCACCGCGGGGCCTCACATGGAGCAAAGAAAGGAAAGCAGGTCTAAATGCGTAAAATGTCTCCTTTTTTAAGTCTTATTTTTCCCCGTAAAAAACTATCACTAAAGAAACCAAGAAACAAGCAGGAGAGAAACGGAACCAAAACACGGTGAATTATTATTGAAAAAAATTGCAGAAAACGAGGAATTTTGCCACAAATGAAGAGAGCAGACGTGACATTCTCTACGTCTTTTTCATTTGTTTACATCATTATTGAAAACGTTCATTAATTCACGCGTCAAAGAGAAATGTTAAAATCAAAAGAATATATTATTGCTCATGTCAACCCAGAGCCGCCTCGAAAGACTTCACAAAAACATTAATTTGCTAAAAACATGTATATTTTTATGATATTATTTGTGTCAAACCAGAGCGTTCTCAGGCCACAGCAGCTTTGACAACATGTGCCACTCCAAAAACACAGACATATCTCACGTTTTATATATACTTAAAATTATACAAATGCATTAATTATGGTATTTTTACTCATTCTGTCATGTGCAGTCACGGGACAAACCCGAGCCCATTCTTATCTTATCTAATCCAGGTCAGATCTCTTTAAAACCACGCGCACGGAAACACACAATTTTAACGATTTCCGATTTACTGTTTGCGTGAAATGTGAATTTTAATGTATTTATGATCAAGTGTAAGAATAGAATTATTATAGAAACAGGAATTATGGATTTACACGCGAGAAATGGTCAGGTTGAAAAATATCTATAATTACTTACGTTCAATGACAAAATACAACAACATGTAACCAAAACTGTTAAATATGTTACGGTTATTACACATTATACTGTAAAAAAATAAAATATAGAAATGTGTTAAAATATTAGATTATGGACACAGTGAAATATATGGATTTATTATTATTATTTTTATTTTATTTTTTAATATAATTCTTTATTTTTCAGTTTTGATGAACACACTTATACACACACACATCAAGACATGCAGCGTGCAATTACTTCCGCGCTCCTTATATGGGTTAAGTGGGGGAAAGTGTCTTGCCCAAGGACACAACGACAGCAGACGTCAGTGGGAGTCTGTGGAGAAGGTCTTGCTTAACGTCAAGATTAGATTTATATCTCTCAAACCTGCAAACATGACACACACACATACACACACACACACACACACACACACACACACACACACACACACACACACACACACACACACACACGCGCGCGCGCCGGGTTGGATGACGTCAAATCTTTCTGTCTGGCAGAAAAAGCTACATTTTGCGTTGGTTCAAACGCACAAAGAGAAAAATCTGTATAATTCTCCTTTAAAGTCTCATGTTTTTACTTTGTTGTCCATCCAAACAGAATCTGCTTTTAACTAAATTTAATGTTGTTCTAATGTGGGACGCAAACGCAAACACACGCTGTTAAACGAATGCAAATGGACAAACAACACAAATATATCAGCTCGTGGAATCTAAAATGGCTTCTGGAGATTAGAGATTGTTGTGTGTTCTTCACGCAGCCATTTCCCACTTGGACAAAAAAACAAAAAAATCCCCAAAAAATGGTGGTAATCTTTCGCACGCATGTATCCTACCAACGCTCATTGTTCTCCGGAGCCTGCAGTCAGCTGACACCCCCTCTCTCCTCTGACTCCCCCCTGCCTCCCCCTCTCTCCTCCACACCCAGCCCCAGTCCCAGATAACCTCATTTGTCTGCTCTCTCCCGTGCGCGCGCTCCCGTCTCCAAAAATCGGGATATTTATCGATCTTAGAATCTCCAAAGAGCCACTTTAAACTCTCATCCGTCTTAATCAGGCCACTCGCAGCCGATAGTGTAACAGGATCAGCCTCGTCCTCCCCCCTCCCCTCTCCCCTCTCCTCACCCCTCCTCCCTCCCTCTCTCTCTCCTTTCCATGTCTCCATTACCGCTGCCTGTATCTGGGTCGCCATCAGCGGCCGCGGTGCAGAGTCTATGGAAGATATTTTTTGCCATATTTTGAATTTTAAATGAGCCTGATTATTTCCATTTGACATTTTTTAACCAAAGAAAAAAAAACATGTTTGTGTAGAGTTGACTTTGCATTTCAGACGCTAAAAAATCAGATTAAAATTTCAAAAATGCTCTTACAATATGCCATGTTTATTCTCGAGCCAAAAAAAGACAGATCATTTGTTTCATCAGATTCTGAATTTTAAATGCAGTTTTGTTAATTTTTTTTAATATTTTTGTTAATTACAGACAGTGTTGCAGAGAATCAGTCGCAAATGTTTTTATTTTTTTAATTTAACGAGATGATTCCAATGCTCAGATGCACACGTCTCAATCGTTTGACAAATACTTCCATAAATCCCTTTGATATCTGTTAAAAAGTAACTAAATTCTGAATATTACTTTTGACGTCTCTCACGCGGCGCATGTGTTAAAGAAACGAGCTCAAAGACATTTCATACATTTTTATCAATATTTTCCTTTTATTTATTTATGTTCTAGTTTTATTATGTTCTATTTACACAGCTGGGGAACACCCACACAAACAGACACACACACACACACACACACGCACACACACACACACACACACACACACACACACACACACACACACACACACACACACACACACACACACACACACTGCAGTTCCAATGAGATTTTAAACAGTATAATATGCCAAATAAACGTGATAATATTCCACGTAGTCAGAAGCGATTCTGATTGGACCGTGTTGCCATAGTTACATAGATGTGCCGCTTTCATGGAAGCTCGGAAACTGTTAAAAAACGGGAGGCTGTTGAACTCTGAGTGTGCGTCGCTGTGATTGGATGAAAGAAAACAGACAAACTGAGAGAGAAGTGTTTTATTTCACATTAACGGTTTTACGACGCAAAATGTAAACAAAAAAATATTAAGCGAAAAAACAATTAAAAATGCTAATTTTTGGAGGATTTTTCAGGTTGTATTTTTAAACAGCAGGTTTTATGGAACAACATGTTTGCTCCTGATTCTCAGATCTGTGTTCTGCCTTTTTCATGAACAACAACATGTTGTATGTTCACTGCTTTGTGTGTGTGTGTGTGTGTGTGTGTGTCTCTGTGTGTACCGCTGTCTCTCTGTGTGTGTGTGTGTGTGTGGGTGTGTGTTGTGTGTGTTTGTCTATATGTGTGTGTGTGTGTGTGTGTCTGTCTGTGAGTCTATATGTGTGTGTGTTTGTGTGTCTGTCTGTGAGTCTATATGTGTGTGTGTGTGCGTGTCTGTCTGTTTCTGCATATGTGTCTGTTTGTGTGTGTGTGTTTCTTTGTCTATGTCTCTCTGTGTGTTCCTCTGTCTCTGTGTGTGTGTCTCTGTGTGTACCTCTGTCTCTCTGTGTGTGTGTCTCTGTGTGTACCTCTGTCTCTCTGTGTGTGTGTGTCTGTGTGTACGTCTGTCTCTGTGTGTGTGTGTGTGTGTGTGTGTCTGTCTGTGTCTCTCTGTGTGTACCTCTGTCTCTGTGTGTGTAGAAATTTGTGTATCGTCCCCAACAGTGTGTGTACCTCTGTCTCTGTGTGTGTGTGTCTCTGTCTACATCTGCATATGTGTCTGTTTGTGTGTGTGTGTGTCTCTTTGTTTGTGTCTCTCTGTGTGTACCTCTGTCTCTGTGTGTGTGTGTGGCTCTGTCTGTGTCTCTCTGTGTGTACC